AAGAGATATCCCAATATCCAGCAAGACACACCCCCCAATATTCAGCAAGATACAGCCCAAATATCCAGTAAGAGACATCCCGATATCCATAAAGAGACTTCCCCAATATCCAGCAAGAGACATTCCCAATATCCAGCAAGAGACAGCCCCAATATCCAGCAAGAGACAGCCCCAATATCCAGCAAGAGACATCCCCAATATCCAGCAAGACACAGCCCTAATATCCAGCAAGAGACATCCTGATATCCAGCAAGAGACAGCCCCAATATCCAGCAAGAGACAGCCCCAATATTCAGCAAGAGACATCCCGATATCCAGCAAAAGATAGCCCCAATATCCAGCAGCAAGACACAGCCCCAAAATCCAGCAAGGGACAGCCCCATATCCAGCAAGAGACATCCCCAATATCCAGCAAGAGACATCCCAATATCCAGCAAGAGACATCTCGATATTCAGCAAGAGACAGCCCCAATATCCAGCAAGACACAGTCCCAATATCCAGCAAGACACACAGCAAGTCCCAATATCCAGCAAGAGATATCCCAATATCCAGCAAGACACATCCCCAATATTCAGCAAGATACAACCCAAATATCCAGTAAGAGACATCCCGATATCCATAAAGAGACTTCCCCAATATCCAGCAAGAGACATTCCCAATATCCAGCAAGAGACAGCCCCAATATCCAGCAGAGAGACAGCCCCAATATCCAGCATGAGACATCCCAATATCTAGCAATAGACATCTGCAATATCCAGCAAGGGACAGCCCCATTATCCAGCAAGAGACATCCCCAATATCCAGCAAGAGACAGCCCCAATATAAAGCAAGAGACATACCCAATATCCAGCAAGGGACGGCCCCATATCCAGCACCATATCCAGCAAGAGACATCCCCAATATCCAGCAAGAGACATCCCGATATTCACCAAGAGACATCACCAATATCCAGCAAGACACAGCCCCAATATCCAGCAAGAGACATCCCGATATCCAGCAAGAGACATCCCGATATTCAGCAAGAGACATCCCGATATTCAGCAAGAGATATCCCCAATATCCAGCAAGACACAGCCCCAATATCCAGCAAGAGACATTCCGATATCCAGCAAGAGACATCCCGATATTCAGCAAGAGACAGCCCCGATATCCAGCAAGAGACAGCCCCAATATCCAGCAAGACACAGCCCCAATATCCAGCAAGATACAGCCCAAATATCCAGCAAGAGACATCCCGATATCCAGTAAGATATAGCCCAATATCCAGGCAGCAGCAGTAATGCCAACCAGCCCCTATATCCATCAAGCAGCAACACTGACAATTAAACACTAACCAAAGCAATGTACTTAGTCTCAACCAGAAAGTGAGCAGTCAGGAGTCTCAGCAAGATAGGACATCGCATGGCAGCTGTTCCTCGCAGCTGGCACCTGCACCAGGAAAGGAACATCTGGTCGGCTACAGGGAGAGGCAGAGGACAGCAGATATCACTCCGCCTTCCATTCTCTTAAAGCTGCAGCCAGAACTATAGCAGCTGTGTCGGCTTATGCGCCAGCAGCTCACTCCGCATGCTGGCTGCAGTATTAAACACAATGTAAAAAAAAAAGAGTTCTGTTCCCTGGCAGAGGTGCCGGGCTGGCATTCCGGGACATTCCAGCAGAAAAAAAGCCCTGGTGAACAATGCAACTTACAAGCAGGCTTGGTCCATCCACTGGCTTGTATACAATTTTGGGGCAATTATTAGGCCTTCTGCCAAGGCACCCCTGAAGGAGCCTGAGGGCACCCCAGGGTGCCTGGGTACCCCTGGCTGAAAAAGGCTGGTATAAACTGTGTTTGGAATCAGCTACACACAGTGTACAGGACAGTGTTTCAGCAGCCGTACAAAGACTTCCCATCTAGTTCACAAAACAAAATTGAGTTCACATGAAGCTTTGTTTTTCTATGAATTAATATAAGGCTTCCTTTGACTGACTGAGGTGGACAGGTGGGCAGATTGTAGGAAAGTTGCCTACTGTACATAGCTAGTTTTGTCTGCTCTAGCCAGAGGGAAGGGGTTAATGTTTGTACCACCTTCCTCAGGCTGAGTTTGCGGGCTTTTGACTGGGTACAGCCCACCAGTCCTGTGGAAATATAAATATAGGATAGGTGATCAAATCTAGGGGTTCCTGCTGAAGTTTGCTTGGGGAACAATCATACATCTACCAGGTAGGAAAGGCTGCTGGGACTTGCAGTCTGTTCTGAAGACACCGACTCATCGGAAACACCGTCATCATGGACTACTGCCATCCTGGACTTGCCACTATTGGACTTTACCTATGCAGCAGCCACAATTAAAGTTAGTTAGGAAAATACTATTTTCCTATTTAGATCGTGATACTGAATTTCTCTCAGGAAAGCCTTTGAAATGTTGTCCTGCCTGTTCTGAAGTTGTTCTACAAGGGGGTATGAAAGTAACCAGCACAATGTACAGGGACACTTGAAGCTTCGGTCAGTAAAAGCACATTTGGGTATGAAGTCAGTTTCTGCAAAAGTTAGTATGAGTAGAAGCAAGCAGTTATCCGAGTAACTAGAGACTAGTGACGAGTACAAGCAGCTTGTTGTGAAGCGTGGTACCTGTGCTAGGTGAGGCATACTCTGGTAGCAAGAGGTCGCTCCCTCGCCAGAGGTCTGTGTCCCATACAGAAGAGTAAAATAGACAGAGTACTGAGGTCCACACTCTCTGCATGGTGGGACCCCAATCCATCATTGTGAGTGAGGTGACAGAGGTAAGCTGGATGTTATATGTTCCACCTGTTTTTAGGGTGGAACATGCAACACGTTCCTGCTCCTGCAGCCTCTCCCCAATCCCCCCTCTCTGTGACAACCGCTGTCAGTATTTGAAAAAAGTGCGGCAGTCATTCATTCACAGAGTTCTATTCTTTGCATTTGCATTAATTTTGTATGGGTTCAAATCGCACCACAAAGGTATCGGTTTTAGGTATCGGATTGTTTACATGAGTACAAGCAAATGCTAGCTATCAGCACCAATACCGGTCTCGGTATCGGTGCAACCCTAAAATGCTATTTTTTCCCTGCAAAAAGATGTGCATTTATTTATTTATTTTTTAAGTTTAATATATCCTTTAAAGTGGTAGTAAACTCTGAAAAAATAAAAAAAAAGTTTTCCCCACATGATGAAGGACTTACCTTAAACAAAGCCCTCCAACGGCACGCTGTCACTGCTGTAGAGGCTTCCATCTTCACCCAGACCTCCCTCCAGGTTTGCGGGCTGCGGCCACTTGATTGGCCAAGCTGTGATGATGTCAGTCCCGCATACTGGAGTCTCTGCTGTGGCACACAGGTCTGAAGGAACGACACGGGTATGCCGTTCCTTCAGAATGGATGCGCCAGTGATGTCACTGGTTGCTGCTTGCTAGAATATCTCCTAAATGGTCACGTTTAGGAGATATTCATTTTACCTACAGGTAAGTTTTATTATAAGCTTACCTGTAGGTAAAAATAATATATGAGAGTTTACTACCACTTTAATTTGTCACAAAAACAACGTGTTGCTAACGAGATAAAAGTATGGATCAATAGATCCAAAGAAATAAGCAGAATAATTTACATTCAAATTATACCCTTTCCTGAAAATGTCAAGCTTGATCCTTCCTCTTCCAACCCCCAAGGCTCCTATTTGGTAACAACAGAAGTATTGTTTTTCCCAAAAAATAATCCATACGCATCCACTACTTAATTGCCCTGTAATCAATTTTTTTTAATTTTTCTTACTGTGTTTTTCTGCCTCCTTGTAACGTCCTCCATGAGCTCCCAACCCTCTTCTTTTCTACTCACTTCCATTTGTTCGGAACAAGCAGTGAACATTAGTTGCAGTCATGTGTACTGCTCTATGCACACTACAAATTTTATAGTCCATACTTCAGAGTCCATGTCAGGAGCGAGTAGGGTGGCTATGCTCCTACATAGAGTACGACTTTAGGGAACAAATGTAGCAGCAAAAAAAGGGAATATTGAGATTTGGAGGCGGATGAGAGCAATAGAAGAAACTTTTGTCAATACATACTTGAATGGATTTTTCACTTTAAATAGGAAGGCTTGTGAGATATGGAGTGGGATGACGTGGAGTAGTCATTCTTAACCTTTCCAGGTGCAGTCAAGATTTTCAGATTATCAGATCGTCAGTACAGTGCTTTCGTCAGCCGATTCTAACTTTTTGTAGGATGAAAATTGAGGTTGCAAGCTGGAAAATGTTTAACGTGTGTAAACAGAATCTCTGATTTTCAATTAATGTATACAGTAGTTGTATGGAAATAATCAAAGAGAAAAAAATGTGCATGATCAGAAGCAAAGAACAACCCTACATTTCTTCTATTACGCTAGCATGTAGCTATGTGTGCCTATGTTTGCCTTTTGTTGGCCAAGAAGTTTCTTACAAGTCAATGCCTTTACGACTACATCATGATATGCACTTTGGTGGAAAATCAGGCGATTGGTCGTCCGATTTTCTTATAGTGTGTACTAGGTTTTAATCTGAGCAATTTGGCATGTGGTTTACATTGGAGGTACATGCATTTTTCTCCTTCTATTCAGTTTGAATGTGACAGGTTTAAATTATATTGTAGATATAGTCAACTTTTTTTTCCCATTTTGAATGGAGTCAGGGAAGGTTAAAAGCTCTATCAAGTTTTTCTTTTGTTTTGCTGATTTTTGTCTTGCTGTGGAAATTTCTTTTTACTTCCTGTCTTGTAGACACTTTTGGGGTGGAAATCCCCCTACAGTAAGAATAACCCCCATCTTAGTAAATTGTCACAAAAAAAACATCAGTCCCCTGAGCTCTTGTTCTGATTACATCTGTATAATGTAGGATTTCCCCTTTTTTTTCTATCTCGGGGGCAATGATCCCCTTTCAGGGTTTCTTTCAAGAATAATAAGGTAGGTGGTATGGCTAAGCTAGTCACACGTGGCTTAAATTTAATTGTTATTTAATTCCTGGTTTTCTAGGAGACCTCTGCAATCCTCAACACTTCAGCTATGGAATAGAGACGAAGGAAGCATTCAAGAAAGGCTGTTTATGTGAGGATATTCTTGAGGAGCAGAGAAAGGTTCATAAGGCTGACTTGATCATCTTTCAGGTACCTGCAATTTACAAAATAATTTTCGTTCAATTTATAAGTTAATATACGCATATACTGTGTGTACAACTCAAGCACGGTATAGACTTTCTTATGAATCCTATTGGTGAAGGCAGATGTACAGTTTTCATGTGGTGTAAAAGCTACTCTTCTAATTACCAGGGGCCAAAAATCTTTGGACCATTAGTGGCATAGCAAAACTGTTAAGCTACACCTCCTATTTACCACTTGCGGCTTTGTCCCAGGGCACCCCAAGCCTTTTATTATTGTAGTAATTCCCCTGATTGTGATCCAAGCACCCCTTGCAGAAATAAACAGTCAGCCTGTGAAATATTTTTTTTGTACTGCATTTAGGTAGCATAGCTTGGCCATGCAAATAAATTTTTTTAATTAATATGAAACTGGACAAAATGTTGTTGTAATACCTACCAGCATTTAACTTTAAATACTTTTCTGTGAGTATGCCAAAATATATACATTTTCTAAAAAACATTATTATCAAAATATTGATCAAAATATCTTCAATAATTTAAAACGTTTATGCCCCAGTTATATTTTATGGACTTATAAGTATATTTGTCTGTGTGTATATATATGTGTAACGCCCTACAGTGCACATAGGTTTTTTTTTCTGTTTAGCTAGAGGCTTGCTAGAACCCTGGGTGTGAGTAAACCTGGGAGTAAGTCAGCAAGGTTGCTTCAGGTCAAGGCTGAAGGGCTCTGCTGGTCAGTTCTCTGATATCTCCCCCTACTCTAGAAACTTCTCTAGAAGTTTCTGGAAGCAGTGGGTGGGGGTGAGGGACTGATGTGCATACTTAGGGGAAATTGGCCAATCCCAAGGTAGGAGGCCTGGCATGGTGGCTAGGTCAGCCCTGAAATATGAGAGAGCCTGGTCAGCAGGGGATTCAAGTGGAAGATGACATGAAAACGTACTGCTGGTCTGGAGCCTGGGAGGGGGCCCCCAGAGGAGGGGGGTCTGCTTACAGGCTGAAGCTGGACAGAAGGATCTCCACTGTCCCACAGTCTACCAAGGAAAGACAGCCTGTCAGCAGGGAAGGAGCCAGCCTAGCGTAAGGCCTGAAAGAAGCTTCAATCTTTAAAGCTACAGAAACAGGACAGAGTGGGTACTTCTACACTCCCTGGGCCAAAGAAGGGAGAAGGTGGTCAGGTGCAATGCAAAACTAGCTGTCCCTGGGACTACTTTCTTTGTGTGTCTCGGAATCCCTTGCCCTGGGATACTGTCAAAATAGCTAGGTGGGTGAGGAGATTTCCATCTAGAGTCTGAGGATGTTTACTTAAGGTGACCAAGTGCTCCATACAAAGACTGTGTGCTAACCTGTCTGAAAGGAAGTGCCATTCCTGAAGGAGTAGAGAGCCTAGGATCCATTTTGTGCTGTTTTCTGGATTCTTTCCATTTTCCCTAAGAAATTTGTCCTTCAAATTATTCAGTTCCATTGGGCATCTCAAATACCGGTAGACCCCATCCAAGTTGTTACCCCCTAAAAACCAACAAAAAAACAATGGACTTTGGATGAAAGTGTGGAAAGTGCATGTTGCCTGGCTGTGCAGTGCTTAGAGGGACCCAAAAACTCAGCAGGCGTCAAGAGGGTGTATATATACAGTTGTGTTCAAAATAATAGCAGTCAGACATCACTAACCTGATCAATCACTGTTTTTGGTAGAAATTATATTTCTACATGGCAAATTATTTACTAGCAGGTGTAGTAGAGTAATAGAGTAATAGAGTAATAGAGCTGCTGATTCTGTGTAATTGAATCACTAATTGAAAGGGGCATGTTCAAAATAATAGCAGTGTGGAGTTCTATTAGTGAGGTCATTCATTCTTTAAAAACAGGTGGCAATTATTGCCCTTATTTAAGGAAGGAAGGCAGCAAATGTTGTACATGCTGGTTACAGTGCATTTCTCTCTGAAATTCTGAGGAAAATGGGTCGTTCCTGACTTGTTCAGAAGAACAGCGTACCTTGATTAAAAAGTTGATTTGAGAGGGTAAAACATATAAAGAAGTACAGAAAATGATAGGCTGCTCAGCTAAAATGATCGCAAATGCTTTAAAATGGCGACCAAAACCTGAAAGACGTGGAAGAAAGCGAAAAACTACCATTCGAATGGATAGAAGAATAGCCAAAATGGCAAGGCTCAGCCAACAATCAGCTCCAGGAAGATCAAAGAAGGTGTAAAGTTACCTGTGAGTACTGTTACAATTAGAAGATGCCTATGTGAAGCCAAGCTATCTGCAAGAAGCCCCCGCAAAGTCCCACTGTTGAAAAAAAGACGTGCTGAAGAGGTTACAATTTGCCAAAGAGCACACTGACTGGCCTAAAGAGAAATGACGCAACATTTTGAGGACTGATGAAAGTAAGATTGTTCTTTTTGGGTCTAGTGGCCGGAGACAGTTTGTCAGACGACCCCCAAACACTGAATTCAAGCCACAGTACACTGTGAAGACAGTGAAGCATGGTGGTGCAAGCATCAAGATATGGGGATGTTTCTCATACTACGGTGTTGGGCCTATTTATCGCATACCAGGGATCATGGATCAGTTTGAATACATCAGAATACTTGAAGAGGTCATGCTGCCTTATGCTGAAGAGAAAATGCCCTTGAAATGGGTGTTCCAACAAGACAACGACCCCAAACACACCAGTAAACGTGCAACATCTTGGTTCCAGACCAACAAGATTGACGTTATGGAGTGGCCAGCCCAATCCCCGGATCTTAATCCAATAGAAAACTTGTGGAGTGACATCAAAAAATGCCGTTTCTGAGGCAAAACCGAGAAATAGAGAAGAACTGTGGAATGTAGTCCAATCATCCTGGGCTGGAATACCTGTTCACAGGGGCCAGAAGTTGGTTGACTCCATGCAACACAGATGTACAGCAGTTCTCAGAAACAGTGCGACTACAACCAAATATTCATTAAGTGATTCAAAGGAAAGCAAAATCATCTTCAAACATTTTTCAGTTTATATAGTGAATGTTTGAGTTTGTAAAGAAGAATACAAACACTGCTATTTTTTTGAACAGTCTAATATTCACTTTTCTTTAATTTTTTTAGAGGAACAACACAAATTTGATATATTTTTCTTCATGTTTTGATTTGGAATAGAATGTGTCGTGTTCCCAATGCATTTGTGTGTATGAAAATAAAAGCTATTAGAAGGATTTTGAGCTTTATTCACTTTTTTCAACACACTGCTATTATTTTGAACACAACTGTATATATATATATATATATATATATATACACACTGCTCAAAAAATAAAAGGAATACTTTTTAATCAGAGTATAGCATCAAGTCAATGAAACTACAGGGATATCGATCTGGTCAGGTAAGTAGCAGAGGGGGTTGTTAATCAATTTCAGCTGCTTTAGTGTTAATGAAATTAACAACAAGTGCACTAGATGGGCAACAATGAGACGACCCCCAAAACAGGAGTGGTTTTAGAGGTTGAGGCCACTGACATTTTTTTCCTTACTCAGCTTTTCTTAATGCTTTTTCACTAGTTTTACGTTTGGCTAAGGTCAGTGTCACTACTGGTAGCATGAGTGAATACCTGGATCCTACAGAGGTTGCACAGGCAGTCCAATTCAAGAGCATGGAGGAGATTCCAGGAGAAAGGCAGTTACTCTAGGAGAGCTGGAGAGGGCCGTAGAAGGTCCTTAACCCATCAGCAGGTCCAGTATCTGCTCCTTTGTGCAAGGAGGAACAGGATGAGCACTGCAAGAACCCTACAAAATTACCTCCAGCAGGCCACTAGTGTGAATGTCTCTGACCAAACAATCAGAAACAGACTTCATGAGGGTGACCTGAGGGCCCTATGTCCTCTAGTGGGCCCTGTGCTCACTTCCTGGCACCATAGAGCTCGACTGGTATTTGCCATTGAACACCAGAATTGGCTGGTCCGCCACTAGCGCCCTGTACTTTTCACAGATGAGAGCAGGTTCCCCCTGAGCACATGTGACGGACGTGAAAGGGTCTGGAGAAGCCTTGGAGAACATTATGCTGCCTGTAACATCGTTCAGCATGACCGTTTTAGTGGTGGGTTGGTGATGGTCTGGGGAGGAATATCCATGGAGGGACGCACAGACCTCTACAGACTAGACATTGGCACCCTAACTGCCATTAGGTATCGGGATGAAATCTTTGGACCCATTGTCAGACACTACGCTAGTGCAGTGGGTCCTAGGTTCCTCCTGGTGCACGACAATGCCCAGCCTCATGTGGTGAGAGTATGCAGGCAGTTCCTGGAGGATGAATGAATTGATACCACTGAATGGCCCCCATACTCTCCTGACCTCAATCCAATAGAACACCTCTGGGATATCATGTTTTGTTCTTTCCGTCGCTGCCAAATTGCACCTCAGCCTGTCCAGGAGCTCAGTGATGCCCTGGTCCAGATCTTAGAGGAAATACCCCAGGACACCATCCATCATCTAATTAGGAGCATGCCCTGATGTTGTCAGGCATGCATACAAGCACGTGGGGGTCATACAAACTACTGAGTACCATTTTGAGTTGCTGACATGAAATTTCAGCAAAATGGACTAGCCTGCTGCATCATTTTTTCACTTTGATTTCCGGGGTTGAATTCAGTCCTCTGTAGGTTGATAATTTTCATTTCCATCAAACAATGGTTCATCCTTACGTTCCTAACACATTACCCAGTCCAGTATAGATATCCAGCATGATATTTTTCCCATTGAGATCTTATGTGTTTTCAAAGTGTTCCTTTAACTTTTTTATATATATATATATATATATATATTATATATAGACTGTATATTTAAAACAAATACTATATTAGTAAAGTTTTGCTCATGTGTTTGTTTCTAGTTTCCTTTGTACTGGTTCAGCTTTCCTGCTATCATGAAGGGCTGGATAGATCGAGTCTTTGTACAAGGCTTTGCCTTTGATTTCCCAGGCTGCTATGACACTGGACTCTTGAAGGTAAATATGTACTGAATGGTACCATGTATGGACACACAGAAGAACACAACCAGTTGTTGGTTTGAAAAACATGTTATACACAGCTAATGCCCTGAAAATAAGTCAGTCTCTGGAATTACATATATTCCCATAGGTCATTGTTATTTGCTCTGTTCACTAATACATTGGTAGATTTACTAAAACTGATGCACTCAGAATCTGGACAAGCTGTGCATGGAAGCCAAACAGCTTTTAACTTCAGCTTGTTCAATTAAAGTGTTGCTAAGCCCACAACAGTAAAATCAGTCTATATATGCAGTAAAGCATGCTTGGTATCAGGGGCGGACTGACAACTCATGGGGCCCCCGGGCAATAGGGGATCATGGGGCCCCCGTGTCCTTGCCCAAACTCAAAAAAGCCTATGAAAAAGGTATCAGGGGCATCTCATGGGGCCCCCTGACCCCAGGCCCTCGGGCAATGCCCGGGTTTCCAAATGGTCAGTCCGCCCCTGCTTGGTATACTCACTGTGGAGCCTAAGGGGTTAATCCTCTGCATTGTGTAAAGAAGCTTTTTGATTCTGCCTTCTCTGATCCTTCCCTTCTTTCAGTATCCCCTTCTTATCTCCTGATAAGACATAATGTGTGGGGTCACTCTGCACATGCTCAGTTTGGTGTGTATTGCTAGAGAGTTTTTTTTTTTTTCTTGGGAGAGTACATGTGATCAGCACAGGGCCAATCAGTACTGTCCAGACAGAGGTCAGGGGTTCTGCATCCTCCTAGTGCAGAATGAAATCTCCCCCACAAGCTTTAACATGTGCTCTGCTGGACACTGATAAAAGCCACAAGACAGCTATATACTGCTGATGAGAAAAGGTATTTAGCAGTTTATGTTTACTAAAATGATTGCATTTCCATGTTCTGTGTACTGTGAGAGATCAGATATAGCGCATCCAGGGTCCTGGGTTTAGTAACACTTTAAGTACAACTACATACAGTACATAATAAAAAAATATCTATCAGAAATTTGGAGAGGAATTGGGGTGATGCAGATACTGCAAAACAGAATGTATTGCTAGCAGGGGACACTTCTTTGCTTTGGCAATATACCCTGGAAGCTGATTGGTTTATATGTAGAGCTGCACCAGATTTTGCACCCATTGGTTTAGGTAAATAATCCCTATTCTGTTTTAAGGTGTTATTCAAACATTTTGCTGTACATAAGAAATAATTTCCCAATTATACTAGTCTTTAAATGTTGCCGACATGCTTCAGTACTTGAAGTCAGAGATTCACATTTCCTTGCAATAATATTTTAAAACTTCTACAGGTCTAGTTTAAAACAGAACTTCATCTAAAACACTTTCTAAATTAGTGTTAGAAATCTGTCAGTTTTATTACTGTCTGTGACCCCACTGGCAAGATTCTCTTTCAGATTCTATTTTTTAATGTTTTGCAAAAGTAGAAAACAGATGTCTCTGGGACAACACTGATTTACAGCAAGAACAATTTACACCTGTTCTAACCCAGACATGTCAATTTGTGATTTTTATGGCAGTATAATGCTTCAGAATTGATTTTGAGATCCCTTTCTCTGACAAAAAAGGCCCCTTTCACATGAACGTTCCAAATGGGTTCACCTGACCGGTTTTCAGGCAGGCCGGATCGGAAACTCTATTCTCCTCTATGGAGTGGCGGGTGTAAATGGATATTTATTTACTTTATTTATTTCAGGTACTTATATAGCGCCATCAATTTACACAGCGCTTTACATATACCGTATTTTTCGCCCCATAAGACGCACATGACCATAAGACGCACCTAGGTTTTAGAGGCAGACAACAGGAAAAAAAAATTTCTGAACTAATGGACTGCAGACAGTACAGGAGATGACCAGAGACTGCAGACAGCACAGGGATGACCAGAGACTGCGGACAGCACAGGGATGACCAGAGACTGCGGACAGCACAGGGATGACCAGAGACTGCGGACAGTACAGGAGATGACCAGAGACTGCGGACAGCACAGGGATGACCAGAGACTGCGGACAGCACAGGGATGACCAGAGACTGCAGACAGCACAGGGATGACCAGAGACTGCGGACAGCACAGGGATGACCAGAGACTGCGGACAGCACAGGGATGACCAGAGACTGCGGACAGTACAGGACCAGATGATGAGACTGCAGAGCACAGGGATGACCAGAGACTGCGGACAGCACAGGGATGACCAGAGACTGCGGACAGCACAGGGATGACCAGAGTGCGGACAGTACAGATGACTGCTGACCTTTGGGGAGGTGGGGAGCGGGTACCTGAATTTGACAGGTACCCGCTCTTACTTCGCAGAGTTTTTGTTAGATCTTACCTGTTCCTCGATCCAGCCGCGCGCTGTCTTCCCGGCTTCTGTAATGGCGCTCGGCATGACAGCCGGGTGCCCAGTGCGCATGAGCGAGAAGCACTTGCGCTTTGTGATTGGTCCGGCGGCTTCTGGGATCTGTCATGTGTCCCAGGTACCGCCTTACCATTCACAAAAAGCACCGCTTCTTGCGCATACGCACTTGGCACCTGGCTGTCATGCCCAGTGCCCACACTACAGAAGCCGGAAGACAGCGCGCCGCTGGATAGAGGAACAGGTAAGATCAAAGAACAAAGAAGTAAGAGCGGGTACCTGTCAAATTCAGGTACCCGCTCCCCACCTCCCCAAAGGTCAGCAGTCATCTCCATAATGTCCCGCTGCAGAGCTGAGCGGCCGGCCCGGTATTCTGACACGGCCGCGGTGGAAATACCCGACTGGCCGCTCCATATTCGCTCCATAAGACGTACTGACATTTCCCCCCCTTTTTTTGGGGGAAAAAAGTGCGTCTTATGTAGCGAAAAATACGGTATATATTATATATTCTCATCAGTCCCTAACCCTCAAGGAGTGTACAATCTAAGGTCCCTAATTCACATTCATACATACACATACTATATGTGTCCATTTACATCCACCAACATCCAATCCGATCTGATCCACCAAAAAGAGACGGATGGGGATCCATTCCCCTTCTGTCCATCAGATCGGATGGGATGGCAGTTGGATGGAAACGGACAGGCGGTCTTTTTCCACCTGACCGCCCATAGGCTGTGTCTGTGTCTGTTTTCCTGTGGTTGGGAAGCTGCAGATGGGCAAACAGCCTGTCAAAGAAGCCTGTCAATGAAATGAGCATCCCTTGTAGTCATGTAACTGCCAATGCATCATTACATTGCGTTACCAATGTGGTTCCTTGAAAAATGATTCTGCGTAATTCAGCCCACTTTTTTTTTTTGTCTGATCTAACCTTTCGCCATTATACCAAGGTGTCACTATTGGAGACATTTCCCATCAAGTATTATGTGTGCTGAAGCATCAGTATTGGCTTAAAAAGGTCAAGGTCCATATCAGAGTATTCCAGCCAACACAGGTGGCACAGTGGTTTTACTACTTTGTGGCTGTAGTAGCTCTTAGAATATTAAGAAAAATATGGCAGTCAAAGTAAGGACAGAAGTTCACATGGCCTCCTCCCATTGAAGGTATATACTGTTCCTTTTTTGCTGGGCAGGAAAAAAAAAGCACTTCTTTCATTTACAACTGGAGGAACAGAAGAGATATTTAGCAAAGAAGGAGCAAGTGGAGATATCCGGTATCTACTCTGGCCCATGCAAGTAAGCATTTTTAAATTAAATTTAAAAATATTTGTTTTTGAGAAAAATGTCTCAGGTAGAGAAGCATCATATACAGTTTGACAGCTGTATTCCCATACTTTCACACCTGTTTGTGGGTGGGTGCAGCGGGATACGGTAACAATAAAAACAGCGTCTGGTTTCCTATAAACTCAGAACTTGTATTACAGAAAATGCCAACTACAAACAACCCCAGCAGGAGAGGGATGCTAAGGGTAACACTCACAGTTCAGTTCCTGGCAGAGAGACAGTGGGTAAAGATTCACCAACAGTGTCTGTCTTCAAAGGCGGAAAGCGGAAAGCGGCCTCGCCTGGCCGGTCCGGTCCTAAAAGGGAGGCTACAATACAGTTCCTAGCCTGTCTCTACTCGACAGGAGCCTTTCCCTGCTGCTATCACTTTCCCTGCCAGGTGGGTGCTTTTTCTCTGATCTAGCCACTTCACAAAATGCATGTCAAAACCTGGGGGCAGTGACTTATAAAGACTCTGCTGACCCAAAAATGGCCACCAAAGGTCACCTAGATGCAGCAGCATAGATAACAAGAATGCTGCCTCGTGGGGCCAGGAAACCATAGAGAAACCGAGTTTCCCTTTACTTCCTCTCCAGGCTGTGATACTGCTCTCGTCGGACGCTACCCACAGCGGAGAAAGCAGACTGCACCTGCCTACATGTTGTAGTAGAATAGACCCCATTTCTAATTTACATTGATATAATGACATCTCAATACTTTCTACGTGCAATGTAGACAAGAAGAGTAGTTTATTGTTGCCACTGAGCACAGTGGTCTGGTGCATCCAAGAGTGAAACTCTGTTATTACATCAGGTAGACTGAATTGGATATCCTTTGTTTAAAAATGAATAATCTATTTCAACTGCCAAATATTTTTTCCTTCAAACAATAGGCTCAGTTCACAAGGGTAAGAACTTTTTTAGCCATGTGATTGTAATTTTCAAATCTAAAAATAACTGCCATTTAAAAAAGAAGAAAAAAAAATGATCTGTATTTTAGGCAGTGGCATATCATCCATGTGTGCAATGTGTGTGGTGCACACAAGCCCTGAGGGGGGGTGAGGCCCACTGTGCTTTAACACACAATACAAACATGGAGGAGCTTCAGCTACTCTCCCTATCCTTTAAAATGCCCCCCCACAGCACTGATCCCCTGTGGCTCCCCTGCAGCTGCTAGCTTCTCCTCCTCTCCCAAGAGCTGAAAATATATTACCCTCCCACTGCTGCTCTGACCACCCCATTGACTGCCCCCCCCCCCCCACAATGATCCCCGGCACCTCCTCCCTGCAGCACTGATAGCCAGCTTCCCTGCTTCCCTCTCACGCCAGCTGCTGCTGGGGTGGGAGATTGGTGACAGGACAGAGGGGGGGGGGGGGGGCTGATAAACAAGTCATGTTTACCAGCCCCTCACTGAATGAATACAGTGAGCGATTGGTCCCAACCCTTCATCCTGTGTTCATTCATCACTGAAACATAGTAAACTGTACAGAGACTTCTATTCATTCATCTGCAGTGCAGCTGAGGCTGCAGAGAAAGGGAATGAAGACTCTATGTCCTCAGTCCCTTTCTCTGTCTTAAAAAACAGACAGCAGGGCGATGTTTATACCCCTGATGTTTCACTAAAGCCCCACCCCACACACACATACAAAAAAAGTAAAAAGAATGTATTAAAAAGAACATTGTTATTTTTACTTAATTGCTTACTTTTTCCAAGCATTGTCTACACGATTTATGCTGTCTGTATGATCACCTGAGAGCTTTGTATCTCTATTTCCTTTATACGTAAATAAAAAGACTGAGATGTAAAACTAACATCGAATAAAAAAAAAACATAATAAGGCCTTTATTCACACAAGGCATACTACAGTGTACACCTGTGTAAGGCCGTGTTTATCAGCATGAGGACTGCACAGGTGTTCTGTGCATCCCTGTACGGGTAGTCCCATTCATGAAAAAGAACACACAGGAGGTGCAAATGCCTAACACATTAGTATGTCAAATCAATAAGTGAGCGCAACTTCAAAGTAAGTGGATAGCAGCTAGCATTAAAAAGGCAAACCTCTACCCCTCAGAAAAGTCACAAAATCAGATATGCAGCGCTAAATCTAAAGTCATCTGGTATGATATAACAATAATGATGTGTATAATCAAGAGTTAATTAATGTTAGAAGTACAAAAAAAACTGTTGTGCAAAGTCCAAGTTGTTACTAATAGTAACACATTCCAAAGGTGACAATGGTGAACAGTCAATAAACTGAGTGTGACAAGTGATACTCAGTGATCCATAGTTTCCGCTTGCTGGTGAAAAGGATCTGGTACAATAATGCACTTACCAGAGATCATATAAAATGAGCATTATATGCATATCATATCCACGGTGACATCTGGGTCTGGTCAATGGTCAAGGAAACATCCGGCACTGGTGGTGAACACTCAGCGATGACAAGACTCACTCTCAGGGGACACCTCAGGCACACCGGTAGGTCTGACGTCATCCAGATTCCCAGTAGCATGCTTCCAACGCTCCACCTTAGAGGACTCGCAAAGAACGAGCCAGGGGGCAAAGTGGTGCTAATAGTGTAGTACTTTAATTATAGTGTACAAATATCAAATGTATAGTAACAAAACTTACATATGTATACATGTGGGCTCAATAGTAGCTGCGGGCGCCTATCAGATGGATTCCCCTCTAAGGTGGAGCATTTGAAGCGTGCATAAAGAGGCTAGAAGTGTTTCTAGGAAGATTGCTCACTGAAAAGGTCATCTCTCCTACAGATGTTGATAAATTAGGGACTGCTCAAATCATAAAGGGGTTACTGCCGCATCACCCAATGTCACCGGTCCTAAGAGTTGTTTTGAGAGAGAAACTTTACTTTTACTGAAACTATGACTGAAGTAAAGAAACAGGAGGCTGATATTCTTTTTAGTACCCCTTCTAAAAGCAAAGAGTTCTTCAGGTGAGCACAAATATTAGACTGTTGCTAAAAATAAAGAAGTTGGTAGACTTCCACAGCCTAGAGCTCTATCTGTTGATAAAACTTCCAGTGATAAGCCTCTCTTCCATATTAGGTGTTTCCGCTGTGGACAAACAGGCCAAACAGTTCGTCAGTGTCCACTGCTTGCTGATAGTTCTGAAATTCACAGTAAAGCTGGACAAATGTATAAAAGAAAACAGGGAAAATCAAGAAAACAAATGTTCACTAAACTGGCTGGAGTAGGCCGCAGATGTACTTTCAATTTGTTTGTTAATGATAGACCCACTACTGCTGTGTTTGACACTGGCTCTCAGCTGACTATTATCTACAGGCCCTTCTATCAGCAACACATAAGCCACCTCCCTTTGAAACCTATGGATACTATGCCTGTTTATGGTGGGGGAGAAAATCCTGTTTTTATGGATGGTTGTCTATAAGTTGAGCTTGGCATTCCTGCTGTGACAGCTGATGAGGATCCCCTACTTAAAGTCATTGCCTATGTGAGCCCACTACCCGGTGGTAGTGAGTATGCTCCTATGATTGTGGGTTCCAATGTGGAAGCCATTGAGGCTGATTTCATAAGTTTTCTTCAGCCACAAATGGGTATTCCTCTACCTTCACTGCCTGTTGCTCCAGAACTTCAAAATAACTGCCAAACGTTTGCTCCTGATATTCCTGGAGGATGTGTGGGGAATCCATGGTATCCCACAGAGCTTCCAGCCGGGGGAGTGCGAGTGTTGCGGTTTTATGTGGAAATTTCACCAGGTGCAAATGGTAGCTTTTTCCTGCTAGAGACAGATCCGAAAGATCCGAAAGAGGCTGCAAAGAATGGCTGGGAGATAGTCTTTCCTTTCTGGTACTATCATTTAAAATGTCCAAGAATGGATGTTGTTACTGTTTGGAATGTTACCACATACCCAGTTATAATACCAGCCTGGCAGGAGGTAGTCTATTGTTACCCAGTGGAAACCATTAGCTCTTACCCTGCCAAGCTTGAGGAGAAAGAAACCAAATTAGACTTTCACCTTAATGATGCTGATAGTCCTGTAGAGCACAAACAAGTACTAGAAGAGCAGCTAATGGAATACAATGATGTTTTTTCTACTGATGACATGGAGGTTGCGTGTGCTAAAAGTATTCAACACAGTATTCGCCTAACAGATAGCACCCCCTTTAGAGAAAGATCCAGGCGCATACCTCCTAAAGATCTGGATGATGTTCGAGAGCGCTTGCACAAAATGAAAGATCAAAACATCATTGTTGCATCTAAAAGCCTGTATGCATCCCCAATAGTGGTGGTCAGAAAGAAAAATGGTACGAATATGTTTTGATTACAGGACTCTAAATCCGCGAACCTTGCTTTGAGGAAGCTCTTGATGCCCTGCAAGGCAGCAAATGGTTCACAGTAATGGACATAAGATCCGGGTATTACCAAGTACCAATGAGTGAGGAAGATAAAGAAAGACAGCTTTTATTTGCCCGCTGGGGTTTTTCCAGTTTGCTCGAATGCCTCAGGGAATTAGTGGTGCACCTGCAACCTTCCATCGTTTAATGGATCGGACACTGGGAGACCTTTGTCCCACTCAATGTATTGTCTACCTAGATGACATAATTGTTTTTGGCTCTACTCTGGAGGAGCATGATCAGAGACTGTTTAAAGTGCTTGATCATTTGAGGAGAGATGGTCTGAAAATCTCCCTGGACAAAGGTAAGTTTGCCCGCTCTTCAGTAAACTTTGCGGGCCACATCGTATCTGCAGAATGGGTAGCAATTAATCCTGCGAAAGTGGAGGCTGTGGTAACCCGGCCCTGTCCCACAAATCTGATAGAACTGAGGTCTTTCTTGGGCTTTTATGGCTATTATCGCCGCTTCATTAGAGACTATTCCAAGACTGCTTGGCCTCTTAATGACTTGCTTAAAGAAACACTTGGCATTGACACAACCAGCAAAACTCCTTTCAGTGAGAGGTGGACCTCTGCTTGTGAGGAAGCTTTTCTAC